TGCAATAGTTGTTGCACATCATACGTTTGATTCTTGTACTTATAAAAATCTTTTTAATAATTCAATTTGAATTGTTTGCCAATTATTTTTTACGAAACAATATAAAATACAGGTCCGCCCGTCGCTTGCAGGAAGACTCGGTTATATTTAGTCCCATTTGAATTACAAATGCGCCGTGTAGCGCCCGGGTCGGCATCTCTCTTACATTCAAACAACATTTTACGTTAATTAAATCTTAATTAGTCTCAAGAACACTTAAAGCCCTCGGTCCCATTAAATTTTTTCATTATTTGAATATTGACTAAAACAGACTTCAGATCTATCACGCACTAATACAGGTTTGCAGTTTTTAAACTATAAATTACACGGTAAATGTATAACGAAATGGCGCTCGAAGTAAAAAAATAAGCCGAAGAAGATTAATATATAATAAATTACGTATACAATTTAACATGAATCGATTTACAAAGTATAATGACGCGGAACGGTCTCGAGAACATACACTCAACATCCTCACACTGTATTTTACGACTCACGTATGACGATCGATTCTATGAAGATTGCTTTCTTTCTCTAAACCATTTTGTTGATCAACCATTAAAATAGTTCATTAAATGACTTTTAATTTAAAGCTACACGCATAAAGTCTTCGCCTCAAATTTCTGTATCTGTTTTTCGATCGCTTTTTCTTAATAAATTATTTAATATTGTACGACAGAGCAGTGTTGGCCTACTTCAGCGCGCTACTCTCATCCCTGAGGTCTTAGGTTCGATCCCCAATGCAACGATGGACTTTCTATGTGCGCATTTAAATTCGCTCGAATGGTGAAGGAAAACATCCTGAGGAAACCGACATGTCTTTGACCCAAAAAGTCGACGGTGTGTGTCAGGCACAGGATCACCTACTTGCCTATTCGATTGAAAATGATCATGAAACAGATTCAGAAATCTAAGGCCCAGACCTAAAGAGGTTGTAGCGCCACTGATTTATTTTTTTACTATTTTCTAAATTCACACCGTCGATTTAACGACTTTAACAGCCGAACTCATTTATCAACTTTATGAAAGCATGATGTTATGGAAAAATCTAATAGCTGCCATTGTTTTATCAGATAAATTAAAAAGTGTACCCATATTTACACATTTCCAAAATAAATAACTCAACGCTTACATCATTTGCCTCTCCGTGTATTAAAAGATTAACCGACGTAAGCGAAACTCATATTTTAAGATTACATATACTTAAGGTAACTTAAACTTATTCAATAATAAATACTACTTAGTACAAATATTTTAAAGAGCAATTGCATTGATGTGACGACAACCTAACTGGAATGCAACTTGTTAGATTTCTTAAACTTAAAACGCAAGTGATTTCTCTACTTATTTATTTTTTGCCTTATATCACAATACCAAATAATACCAATTACTTGCTGTTCCCTATCACGCTTCGCTGTGGCACATTGTGATTGAATGGTTGAGAAATGAGAAACAAAACAAAGAAAACATTTCATATAAGTTTAATTTTGCAATACTTGTGGAAAAAAATGATAAAATAAAAAAAAAAAAAAGTTATAAAAACAATCCTTGATGCGGATAATATATCATGCTAAAATTTCAGCTCAAACCAACATAACATTTATATATATAACTAAAATAGATAGATAGTTTTTTTCCTAATCTACAATATCGATTCTGTGTGCTACGGGAAAGGCCTCCCCCATTGTCCTCCATTCTTCCTTATTGTATACCAGTCTCGTCCAGGTCATTTCCATGATTTCATCGGCCCAACTTTTAAATTATCTACCTGTTTCTTTTATGGCCTCTTGATTGCCATAGTCTTACAATTTTGCTCCATTTATCTGCTCCTCTGTATGGCCAGCCCATTTCCATTTTAGTTGTTTTATATGTAACGTATTATCTACTATGTCAATAACTTTATAATACTTATTATTGATTCTTTTGTTTTTAATTATATAAGAAATAGACAAATTTGAACTGACCAAATATTTAATGTGATTTAAGACACATTTGCATCCGTCGGTCTTTACTTAAAATTACTTAGACTCGAGCAAAAGACATCAACGGGCTCTCACTTATCATCGCTACTCAAAAACAATAGACTATAAAACTATGGAGGGGTTTTATCAAAGCTATGTCATATTGAAAGAAATATTGTTATTTGTGTAAGTATGTCTCTTTAATTGTTGATTTAATTATTTGGCAGCTAAATTCGAATGTTGGAACGCGAATTGATAATTCATATTTTTTTATCAGAAGTCCCGACACGAAATCCGATTATCGATCGAGTGCGGGCCATAAATCGAGAAGATGTCGCCTGTCGTCGATTCGATACGTTTTCCCAAAGTTATTCGACAGAGAGAGTTATGGCGGCGGACGCTTTGGCCGGTAATGTGTTAGTTAGGTGTAGTGGAGCCCTGCGGCGAAGCCACCGGCTCAAAGACGATATTAATGATCCGAATGTATCTTCCGATGCGAATGTCTTCTTTGAGTATCGATTCTGACGGGTTTAATCGAGTCGCGACCTTTGGACTCCTCGCACGTCACGCTGACGATGCCTCATGTTTTCAGAGTGACTTCTTCAATTTTCACTTTGGTTGCGCCATAAGTTTAAAGTTATTGTCGCAGGAGTGGAATATTTGTTTAAGATATTTGTGTCTAAAAATGTGTCTATTCATTATTTACAATCAAGTATACAGTATTTACAATTTTCTTAACCTACAAAGTAATAATAAAAATATATTAAAAAGAAAATTAAAAAAAAATTAAAAAGTTTGGTCCCTGTGGCAGTGTACCTTTAACGCTGGCAGCATTTCCTCGCTGTATTGCGATTCTTATTTGTTAAGTCAGGAAAGTACCAGCTCTGGGGTCACCGATACTATCTACTAGGTGCCAACTTAAATCTTTAATCAGCGCCTGTGCACTTGAACCCCACGGACCAAGAGTCTCTACTCCAAAGGGAACAAAATCGAAGTTGGAGGCTTATATTTTTGCCGTTTATTATTTTCTGCTCTGCGGATGAGATATTTTAATTCATTTAGCTGAAGTCGAATTGCTACTGCACTAGTCCAGTCCCGTTGACGGTCGTCTACCACTGATCCCCTCTTTCCCTCCCCGGACACTAAACGCACAGGATTGGGATGTTTATTACGAGGGGGAGGTCCAAAAGTTCGTGGAATGGAGGGGATGGAGTGGGGATAGGGGCGCTCGCTTAGTGTCATACTAATTGGGGACTCATAATTAGTATATAAATGGAGTTTCAGCCCTATTGCGTCATTCGTTTACGAACACTCGCCTGCTAAACACGTCAATCCGGAAGAAAACTGAAACTATGGAGAAAATTGAACACTGTGCTGTCATTAAATTCCTTACCAAGCAAGGAAAGAACGCTCAGACCATTTTGAATGAAATGGAAACTGTTTACGGGGAACAGTGCCCTAGTAAATCAATGATTTACAAATGGCATGGTCTTTTTAAACATGGTCGGGAGTCGATTGAAGACGACCCCTGCTCGGGAAGGCCAGTTGAGGCCACCACATCAGACATCGTAGAAAAAGTGGAAAAAATTGTACTGGAGGACACCCGTTTGAAGAAAAAACAGTTATCTGCATTAGTTGGAGTATCAGATACCACAATTTTGCGAATCCTACATGACCACCTGGGTATGACAAAAGTCAGTGCAAGATGGGTACCAAGAATGCTTACGCCGCTTCAAAAACAGCAGCGCGTCGAAGCGTCAAAACATTTTTTGGAGTTGTGTAGCGACGATCCTGGATCGATTTTGGAGCGAATTGTTACCGGCGATGAAACATGGGTTCATCACTTCGAGCCTGAGTCCAAACAAGAGTCCATGCAATGGCATAAAAAGGGGACACCACCGCCAAAGAAATTCAAAGTGTCGGAGTCGGCTGGAAAGTTGATGGCTACTGTTTTTTGGGATTGTGAGGGGATAATACTGATTGATTATAAAGAAAAGGGCAGGACCATAACCGGAGAATACTACGCAACAATACTAGAAAAATTAAAGGATGCCATCAAAGAAAAACGTCGGGGAAAATTGACCAAGGGTGTGTTGCTCTTGCAAGACAACGCGCCGGTTCACAAGAGCAAAGTTGCAATGGCTGCTCTACACACGCATGGCTTCGAATCACTAGTCCACCCACCCTATAGTCCAGATCTGGCCCCAAGTGATTTTTATTTGTTCCCCAATTTAAAAAAAGACTTAAGGGGAAGGAAATTTTCCGACGACAATGAGGTAAAGGAGGCAATTTTGGCTCATTTTGAGGGAAAAGATAAAACATATTTTTACGATGGTTTGGAAAAATTTATTCATAGATCTAATAAATGTATTCAGCTTAAGGGTGATTATATTGAAAAGGAAAAATAAATTTACTGTTTAATTTTTACTAAAACCCTTTCATTCCACGAACTTTTGGACCTCCCCTCGTAAATAAACAAGAGCGGCCGTATTGTACCTGCGTGATTAGACAGTTTTGAGATTAGGGATCCACGATAGAATCATCAACTACTATTTCAATAGTTATAATTTCCTTTCAATTATTACGTTATTTTTGTTAGAAATTATTTAAAAAGCCTTAACATGTTATAAATATATTTTATAGGCTCTATTGTACTAAAACAAGAATACAACTACAAACGTTATCGATGTATAAAAATATAAAACTAAATAGTTAATATAATAAACGAGGTTCACATTTACACTATAATTTGATTAAAAACGTCCGACACTTTTGTATAACAATATTGTGATGATGCAGAGATTCATAGATGTATTCTGATCGATGATACATCGTCAAACATAGATACGGACCGAGCAGGGCCACGGCAGCGATGTAGTTCTACTCAATATTCGAATTCAAGGTTTAATGTACGCAAACGCTTTGATTATAAACAAATAAAACAAAATGAAATTTCGTGTTATCAATACCATTTCTACTTTACGACGTTAGGTTTGGAAAATGCAAGAGGCAATCGTTTTGTATTTGTGCATACCTTTGAGTACTATTTCCGGGAGTGCGCAACGGCGAATATATGGCGGGCGAGACGCGGTGCCGGGGGAATTCCCCTATGTAACTGTTTGGGGCAGCTTTGATAGAGAATGGAATTTTGAACTGACGTGCAGTTCTAGCGCCGTGTCACCCACCTGGATCTTGACGGCCGCCCACTGTATGATTCCTAAACCTGAGAAGAAGGGTATCGTCGCGTATGGAGATATTATACCGGGACAAAAATTTAACTTTTCAAGGGTTCTAAAGATGTTTCCGCACCCGGGCTACAAAGGTGGCAACACGCTTAACGAATGTTACGATATTGGCCTGTTGAGGACAAGGAAAATCATAATACCGCAATATGGTTTGCTAAGTGCAGTGGATCACACGACGATCATGGGACACGAAGTGATCGTAGCTGGGTTCGGGTTCACCAACGGAACGGAAGGGTTCACTGATGCCATCTCCGCGAACAAGACTCTGCAAGTTTTCAAAGGGATGATAAGCAGTTGTCTAGAGGTGGATTACCGTTTGTGTTCCCGATTGTGTGTGTCATCGACGTGTGGCCACGTGTCCTTGATTTGTGGGGGTGATTCGGGAGGACCTGTGATTCACGCGTCCGGGATAGTGGGTGTAAATGGTTATCACAACATCGATTATGACGATAAAATACACAAGCATTCGTTGGCGGAGGGCTCCACTGTGCTTCAAGCAGTCAGTCCAGTGATCGACTGGTTGTCCACCACTATAAACGGCAAATCCTAATTTTCTACTAACGCTATTACAAATTATTAAACTGTGACTTTCTCTATTAGAAATGCTAGAATTATCATTGTGGACATTATTGTTGATAAATGCAATTTAAGCTTCACGATCATCTTTTACTATGTCGATAAATCATCACACGAATACATTAATAGTGCTCGATAGTGACGGACGGACGCACACAATGCATATAAAAAAGCCAAAGAAAACATTACATATATCACTCGTACAGGAATCTCGACACGAGAGGGTTGAGACTTTTTTATTCTGCATATTTGTACCCTTGTGCCTTGTGTTCCGTGGTTCGGGTTGACCCGACCGGTAGACGGTTATACCGCGGTTATAAATTAAATAATTACTAAGCATATGTCTTCGGAACTGATAGAATTTTATCGTCAACTAGCGACCCGCCCCGGCTTCACTAATTTGATTTCCCCCTAGAAATCCCCTAGGATGCCTTGAAATACAAAAATTATAATTATTGAGTAGTGTTATTACTGAATTTTCATGTTATTTTAGAATTTGTAAGTAATTAAAATCAGATATACCACCGCGGGGTTTTCAGTAGACCTTTTCAATGTGTACAATACTTAGTACATTGTTTTGATAAATCGCGTAGCGTTCAGCCTGCGTTTGCAATGTTAAAGCGGAAAAATGTAATTATTTACGACATCACATTAGAAACCTCAAAAATACATATAAACCTTCCTCTTCAATCACACTATCATTAAAAAAAACGCATCAAAATCCGTTGCGTGGTTTTAAAGATTTAAGCATACATAGGGATATAGGGACAGAGAAAGTGACTTTGTTTTATACTATGTAGTGATAATACCAGGGGCTAAACGGTCAAAACGGCTTGTAAAAGTTCCTTCCTTGTAATCAATTTCTCTTAAAAATCCCTGGATTTCTTAGAATTGTAGCGGCGAAATAAAAAATAAATAGAGGCCTGGAAATAATATGATATATTAGTAGTTGTAATGATTACAGATATAGAGAGAATTATATTACTTTGTATTTGAAAAAGTTTATTACGTATACTATCAATGTAAGAGATGAAAACTTCTCACAGTAAAACAAGACAAGTCATAATAATTCCCTTGTAAAATCATCTTCCATATTAATAAAATATAAAACAGTTATAGACACACATTTAATTTAAATACGTGTTATGTTTACTATATTCAGATTCACGATTCTCTTTGTCCACTCGAAAATTCCATAAAAATTGAATCTATAGACGTTAGTTGACATTTAATTAATGTATATTATAATGAATCGTAATATATGTTGCTAAGCGCAAAACTCAAAAACGGCGGGACAAATTAAAGTAATTTTTTGAAGTTATACTTCTTTAGGCGCGTTATGAAAAATTGATGAGAGTGAAATTTTACGATGCGCACCGTGACACAAATTTAACAGGATGAAGTTAGTGGCGCATGTTGGCACGCACGCCGCCTCTGTTCATTGTGTATTTATATTTATAATATATTCACATGCTTTGAGTTTCTACATTTAAAACACATGTTTTCATTTTATTTTCATTATACAAGTCAAAATTTTATATGTGCGTCTGAATTATAATCAGAAGTGATTTAAATTGAATATTTAAATCAATACTAATTAATATTAGAAAATAATGATAAATATAAATATAATATTAATAAATATTTATTTATTTAATTTTTTCAAATGTAAACTGAACTTGACTATAATGACTCCTTTTCCAGTCTTTGATTCTTTAATTGTAATTAATTATTTGCATGCAAACAAAAACTATTTTTAATAATGCCAAAGAAGTATAACTTCTTACGCGTGTACATAAGTACACGCACCCTTTTTTTAATTTTATTTATTTCTTAAACTCTGAGGAAGGTTTTTATGGAGAGAAAAATTGGAATCTTATACAATTTTTAGTTTTATTTAGTACTGAAGTGTTTATTCCAGTCTCTATGGGATAATGCATAGCAAAATGTTCCATACGTTGGTACGTAGCTGCTAAGAAGGTAGGCTAAGTAAAAAATCATATTAAGGCGAATCGAAGTTCGCGGGCGCATCTAGTAACTTAATGAGATTTGAGAATCGTGTAGATTGGGACCATAGTTTTCAAGACATAAAAGAAACCAACAATTCTACCTCAAAGAATTCACGTTGCCCAGCTTCTAAACGCATAGTTTATCAGTGTATATCGTTTAATATCGTCGTTTTTGATTTGTAGTTATTTATAGATATACAGTGCATAAACATCAAGTAAGCTGGTATCTAATTAGTTTCAATAAACATATAGACTATGTAACATAGAAGGTTAACCTAGGTAACACTGAAAATTTTTAGAATATGAAAAATGGCTTAATGTAGAATGTTGCCAATAATTTAATTGTTTTTTGAAGTAATCTCCGTGCTTCTCTACACATCGTCGCATTCGATGGAACCACTGAGAAAAGCATTGGGCCCATTCTTCCTTAGGGGTGTTTTAGATTTGCCGCCAATTCACAAAAACAAATGACAAATTAATACAACATACTAAATTAGGTTACCACAGAGTTCTAAAATTGAAATTCAAAAACAGTTTTTATAAGCAAAGTTTCTATATGGCCAATTCAAAAAATTTTCAGTGTTACCCACATATATTATTTCTCTTTTAGGCCACTCAAAAGCTTAAAATAAATTCGTTTACAAAAAAATGTTGAATCGGCTCCAAAATACTCTATTAATAATGAGGTCAAAAAATATTCTGACGATTGCAGCTATTTGATTTAGCACAGATCCAGTCCAATAATTATCGATTAAGAAATTTAATTTAGTTAAAAAGGCAATTTAGTAGAAATTTATATTTTATAAAGGAATTTATTCCAAAAAAAAAAGGAGTTAAAGTACGGCGGAGCTTAAAGGAATCCTTACAACACATTAGCATAATACACAACATCGATTATGAAGCGGGGGTTCGAACATTTTTCTTAATAAAATTATTATTGGAACTTGTAGCTTACAAATGAGTTTAACAGCTCGGACAATGGTGGCCGTTTGTCATGAACTCGGCACCTCCCGCCTTAGTCGGCCTCGCGACGTCCGAAGGGGCTTTCAATAAATCTCTTCTTCTGGTAATATTTATAGAGTCTACGTTGAACTATCCTTATTAATAACTAGCTAATAACGTAGGAATTCGACTTTAATTCGAGCGATCACGAAACTGGGCATCACGGTATGATTTGCTTGCTTGAGCATATAAGTACTAACTTAATATAATATTATATCTGTCTTAAATCAGACAATGATAAGTACACTCAAATTAGTGTTTCATATTTTAATAGTGTCTTCAAGATTTCTTAATAATTTAATTGCTTGTCCTGTAAAGTAATTAAATTGCATTTATCATTTGACCTATGGGCACAGATATAAATTACGCGTCACATTGTTTGTCCGCTATGGACTCCTAAACTACTTAACCGATTTCAATCAAATTTGCACACCGTGTGCAGTTTGATCTAACTTAAAAGATAGGTACGTACTGTACGTGTGTATGTCTCTGAACTCCTTTTAAGCGGCTGGACCGATTTGAATGATTTTTTTTTTTGTATGCGTTTAGGTGGAGCCCTGGATGGTTTAGATTCACAAATCAGCCCGGCAGATGGCGCTGCAGCCGGTACTTTCATAATTTATTTAATATCCTAATTGTTTGAAATATCGTGCAAGACTTCTCTCGGGTCCGCTAGTTTAAATATATATATATATGATTCTTTTGAGATTTTCTGTGTACCTATTAGGAAAATACTATTTTAAGAAGTCGGGATGTTTCACAGCGACTGACCGACGATCACTAGCCCCGACCTGGATTTATTGTTAATAAATTATGGCTTCTACACTTATATTGTTTACCAAGTTATATACCTTGAATCGGAATACGTAAAAACCCGGTCTCGCTTAAAAGGATTATGCGTGTCCCGTCTGTAATTTATCAATTTGTGCATTCGGTATTTTATGAGCGCTTATAAACGCAGCGCCGGTACATTTACACCTCACAATGATAATCCTTATTAATGATGTCTTTTTCTTGAGATATTTTTAATGGTCTCGAGACACGCTTTCGATCGCGAGCAACAAAACCTTCTTGAATGGATCTTATCATAGCAATATCGCACAGAACTTTATGTGTCGAATTTCGAAACATTCTAAAAACAAAAGAATGTGGGTCGCGCCTCGAAGCCTGTGAGAAACCCAAACTTCGGCTGAATAACATCTTTATTATCGTATGACATGTTCTTTCTTCGACTACGACTTTACGCGCGCCAGTCAATCGAATAGCAACTTTAATACCTAAGTATAAAGCTTTATTTAGATAGCTCACACCTGTGTACACAGTGGGACAGTCGGGCAGTCACTTGTGTCAATTATTTCAATTTTTAATGTAATTCGTTAAAGGACATTATTCCTTGTGCGTAAGGTTTAAAGTTGCAATCACTTCTCGCTAAACTAAATTGATTAAACAATATTGCGAGCAAATAAAGACTGTTATTTGGAAAATTCGACAAAGAATGAATAAATACGGTGGCCGCACTGTTGACTGTCGGCGGATTCAAATACTGGAAACAAATTAACATAACACAATTATGTTTTTTATTCGGAGCATAGTCAGTTTTTGAAAATGCTTTTCCTGGTTAATTTAAGACGGTAGAAATGCCTTTTTATTCGGCACAATCTAAATGTAAGCGCGTGCTCCTATTTCACCTCTGCTGATAGAGGAAAAATCTTTGTTTTTTATTTATTTTATTGTTATTAATTACGCAAGATGTCATGGAACATGGTGTAATGAGTTGCAGCTCCTTACAAACGTAGTGTAAAACAACTTGGCGATCAAAGAGTGGCGGAGAGTTCTTCTCTTTCGTTCTACTCCCTTGATTTGAGAACTGGCAGTAAATGTAAAATTAGAAGCATTTCATATACATTTCTTTTTTGACGTTCACAAGTACATTGTGTTACCTATATGAATAAATGATTTTGAA